CGGTCGGGTTATACACTAATGAATGTACGTATTTTAGTCAGTCGGTTAATACATCTTGGACTTGACACCTGCGTTTTATTTCAAACATTACATTGGCGACGAGGATAAAGTTACGGGGCAGTGATATTGTGCGGATTGTGCAATACGCTATTTTTGTGTGTATCGTCGGTGTTTGTGACATTGTAATTACAATGATGTTCGGAAATACGGGTGTATACGACGCGCGGAGCGGCGCGGTCAGACAACATGGCGGAGCGGCAACAGCGCACGGCGGAGCGGCCGGTATGAGAAGTTTGTGCGGTCGGCTGGCTGGGACTGGAATGTGGCGCAGCGAAACTGCTGCAGCGATCTGGCACGGCGAAGGCGATTGTGCGGGGAGCTGGCGCGACAAGACTATCAATTCGGTCACGGCATATGGCGGTACAGCCGGTGCGGGAAACTGGCGCAGCGGAGCTGCTGGCGGTGCGCGCAGCGTGACAAGCAGACATAGCTTTGCGGCCGGTACGGTGAACTGGCGCGGCGGAGCCGCCGATGACCGGGGCAGCAGTAAGCGATACCCCGGTTTGGGTAAAGGAGCGAGGGATCAGCGCGAAGCGGTATGTCGTTTCCGTTTGTTAGTATGCAGCCTGTGCAGGCAGCGGGGGCATCTGCGGCGAGCGTGTCCCGAGCGCGGCGGTAGGGGTGGCAGCGAGAGTCACGGCGCCGGACACTACGATGACGGAGTGGAAGTGGTCTCCGAGGCAATAAACCGAAGAACGATCGTTAATCACCTGAGACTGCACGAGTACAAGCCGGTTAGTGTACCTATCATTATTGACAATATTACCATAAATATGGAGGTCGATACGGGCTCAGCTGTCTCATGTATCAGCAATGAAACATATAAGAGGTACTTCAGGCATCATCGGGTCGAAGATAGCGGGTTGTTCTTGAATTTTTACGACGGCACGAAAGTTAGGCCGGTAGGGTTTATAAAACCAAGAGTCCGTTGGGGTGACCACACGAAAAGGTTGGAGTTGTTTATAATAGCGGGTGGCCATACATCTTTGCTCGGGAGACAGTGGTTATCTGAATTAAATATAAAAGTTCCGATTTTTAGTAGTTGCAACTATTTGGATAATGAGAAATTGAAATGGTCGACTGAAATTGATAAATTGTTTTCCAGATACAAGGATATATTTAGCGGCGGTCTTGGCCGTTTTACTGGCGGCAAGGCGACGCTGCGCGTGCGGGAGGGGGCAGTGCCGGTGTTTCACCGAGCGCGGCCACTGCCGTACGCGCTGCGCGAGCGCGTCGACGCCGAACTGGATCGCATGCTACGCGACGGCGTCATCGAGCCCGTCGACTGCTCCGACTGGGCCTCCCCGCTTGTACCGGTCAATAAAGCGGACGGCTCTTTAAGGGTCTGCGCGGATTATAAGGCGACATTAAATCCAGCTTTGCAGATAGATCGGTATCCGTTGCCGCGGATAGAAGACTTAATGGTTAAGTTAAGCGGGGCGCGTTATTTTTCGAAAATAGATTTATCACAGGCTTACAATCAGATTGAGTTAGATGAGTCGCGTAAATACACTGTCGTCAACACGCATAGGGGACTTTATAGATACAATAGACTCGTATACGGATTGGCTTCGAGTCCGGGAATTTTTCAGCGGATTATGTGCAACCTATTCCGCGGAATATCCAATGTCGAAATATTTTTGGATGATGTTATAATTGGGGGTAAAACTATGGCGGAGCATTTGGAGGCCTTACGGGAAGTTTTTAGTAAGCTGCACGATGCGGGACTTAAATTGAAAACTAGTAAGTGCGTTTTCTTAGTTAACGAAGTGCGTTACTTAGGATATATAATAAGTAGGGAGGGCATAAAAACGGATCCCTCAAAAATAGAAGCAATAGTTAAAATACCCAGGCCGAGCAATGTAACAGAACTTAGGTCATTCTTAGGTATTTTAAATTTCTACGGAAAATTTGTAAAGAACATGAGTGAGCGTCTTGTACCATTATACGAGTTACTTAAAAAAAGTAAGGAATGGTATTGGTCCGCGGAATGCGAGGAATCATTCATAAACATTAAAAAAATATTGTGTAGTGTAGACACATTAGCTCATTATGAGCCAAAGAAACCGCTCATATTGACATGCGACGCGAGTGGGCGGGGCGTCGGCGGCGTGCTAACGCAGATCGACGCCGGCAGCGGTGGCGAACGCCCGGTTGCTTATGCGTCGCGCACGCTGACCGACGCCGAGAAAAACTATTCGCAGATACACCGGGAGGCATTAGCGATCGTATTTTGTATTAACAAGTTCCACCAATATTTATATGGGCGCCATTTCACATTGCGTACAGACCACAAGCCCTTAGTATCAATTTTTGGGCCAAACACGGGGATACCGACAATGGTGGCTAGTCGAATGCAACGCTGGGCGATAATACTCTCGGCTTACTCGTTCGACATTGAATACGTTCGTACAGATGAGAACGGCGCGGACGGTCTGTCGCGGTTGCCAGTCTGCGGCGGTAAACAAATTGAGCAAACGCCGCCCGAGCAAACTTACTTGCATTCTATTCAGGACTCTTTAGGTTTAGACTACCATGAAATAAAACGTGAGACGGGACGGGACCCTATCTTAGCTAGGGTATTACTTTATATTCGAGACGGTTGGCCCACTCAGTATGATTTAACAAATTTGAAACCGTACTGGAATAGGCGGAATGAATTATACGAGGAGTTAGGCTGTATAATGTGGGGCCACAGGTTGGTGGTGCCCGAACAGTGTAAAAATAAGATTATGACGATTATTCATGAACCACATATGGGAATAGTAAAGTCGAAGGCGCTGGCCCGAAGCTATGTGTGGTGGCCTGGGATCGACGAAGCGGTGGAGCGTGCTTGTCGGGAATGCATGGCGTGCGCGGCGCAGGCAGATGCGCCGCCGCGGCAAACACCGCGCATGTGGCCCTGGCCTGCGCGACCTTGGTCACGTCTCCATCTAGATTTCTTAGGTCCCATTGCGGGAAAAACATATTTGGTTGTGGTAGACGCCATGTCTAAGTGGATAGAAGTTTTTCTTATGACCGGTATCTCTGCGAACTATCTTATAGATCGTCTTAACGAATTATTTAGTAGATTTGGTATACCGAGACAGATCGTCACGGACAACGGAACTCAATTTACCTCCAAAGAATTCGAATATTTTAACCGTCACAATGGTATCGAACATATTTTTACATCACCGTATCATCCCTCGTCGAACGGGTTGGCCGAGAACGCAGTGAAAACACTAAAGCGGGTAATAAAAAGAGCATTACAGGAAAAACAAGACGTAAATAGGGCTCTTTGGTCTTTTCTTTTGTATTATCGGAACGTCGAACATTGTACAACCGGTGAAAGTCCAGCGTTGCTACTTCTTGGTAGGCAGATTCGGACGCGACTTGACGCGATTAGACCGGATCGGGAGGGGCACGTACGGCGCGCGCAGCAACGCCAGCAGGAGGCTGCCGGCGGAGTCAGCCGGACTCTGGATAGGACTGACGAGGTATGGTACAGACAGTACCTAAAGGGGGAGAAGTGGCTGCCGGGCCAAGTAGTGGAGGTTTTAGGTAGTAGTAATTTTAAGATCAGAAACAAAGAAGGGGAAGTAGTGCACAGGCACATCGATCAGCTGCGAAGGCGACCCAGCGAATGTAGGCGATCGCTAGCTTCGACCACGCCCGGGTTAGGCGGACAGGCGGCCGACAGAGCGGAATCTCGAAGGTCAGACCCCGAGGTCTCGGAGGCGGAAGAGGTCGTGTCGGAGGAGTCAAAGGAGCTGAGGACGTCACCGCGAGCTGGCATCCAGCCGGCGTCGGGGCAGCAACTCGCTCCGGCTTCACCGGGCGGGGAGCGCTCGCCTTCCCCGGCCAGAGTTCGCCCTATTAGGCAATGTCGCCTAAAAAGGCCTAACTAGTTATAGGAACATTGAAATTAGATGTTTATTTATTTATTTAGATGTATAGTTCTAAGGTTAGATGATTGTTATGGTTATTTGAGTTATTATTAAACTTCTTTAAATGTAATTGTTTTAGTTATAAGATTGTTCTTAATTAAGTACAGAGGAATGTTATGTAGGTACCTACATCTTCACCGGTCGGGTTATACACTAATGAATGTACGTATGTTAGTCAGTCGGTTAATACATCTTGGACTTGACACCTGCGTTTTATTTCAAATATTACACTTCG